CTTCTTCCTTCACCAAGTTAGGAAAGTTTTCTGTCACTATTTCTTCAAATATATTCTAACCCTTGCCCGTTTTCTTCTTCTTCGGGGACTCCTATGATGTGAATGTTATTATGTTTCCAGTTGTCTCCCTGTTCTCTTAAGCTATCTTCCTGTTTTTCTCATTGTTTTTTCCTTTTGGTTTTCTGATTGGTTGATTTTTTTTACCCTGTCTTCTAATTCACTGATCTGGTCATCAGTTTCCTGTACTCTAGTGGTTTGTTCTTCCAATGTGTTCTTTATTTCTGCTATCTCATTCTTTATTTCCACTTGGTTTGTTTGCAATATTTCTATATCTTCACTTATGGTTTTAATGTCTTTACTCATGCTGTTGAGCTTCCTCAAGATCATGGCTCTGAACTCTACCTCTGATAATTTGTTTAACTGCATTTCATTTATCTCATTTTTGATAGAGTTCTCTTGTTCTTTCATTTGGGATTTGTTTCTTTGTTTCACCATTTTGGCTATCTCAGTCAGTTTTGGAGCCTGCAAATTTTTCCTGTGGGTGTTGGTGTTCTGTTGTTTGTGGCTTCTTCTACTGGGTTTGAATGACCTTGGGAGGGCCCATGTTAAACACCACTGTCAAGTCTTACTTCCCTGGGTATATTTAGAAGCCCAGGAAAGGTTTAGTTATCCTCTAGCTTTTTGCCTGGAAGCTATTAGTCTCAGTTACTCAGGGCCTTGGAATGTAGCCCTGGTGTTCTGTTTAAGAGGATATCCAGAGGGTGGAACAGATGCTGATTGTTAATGAGCCTCAATTTGCATTTCTTTGCTTCACCAGGAAAAGGCTTAATCTCCGAGGGAGGGGCTGCTGCTTTTCCCCACAGCACCAGGAAGGAGTAAACTGGCCACCATCCTTTGTGGTCACAACTCAGCAAAAACTCTGAGTGCCCTCCAAATCCTGGGTGTCCCCACAGAATTCCCATCCATTCTGCCCTCCCTCTGCTGGAGCCCCAGATGAGTGACTGTAGCCAATCCAGTGCTCTGTTCTGGCCCTCTCCGCTGTGATGCAAGCTTAGTATTTTATCCCCGAGTGCACTGCTCACAGATAAGACTGCTGCTGTTCATGGGCTCCCAGCCTGCCACCCTCTTTTGCCTCTGTAGATCCTACCAGTGTCCCTGGTTATATGGTTCTGTCCCACTGCTTTTCTGTTGTTTTTTTCCCCAACAATTTTCTTTATTTTAGTTGTAATTCCCATTTGGTCCTGGGAGGTCATCTGTGTAGCTTCCATTCACTCTGCCGCCATTTTAGTATTCATTTCTGCCCATTTTTAAATTAGATTATTTGAATTGCACTATTGAGTTGTATGATTTTTTAATATAAATTGGATTTTAACTCCTCATCAGATATATTATTTGCAAATATTTTCCCTTATTCAGTAGTTTGCCTATTCATTTTGTTGATGGCTTCCTTTACTATGAGGAAGCTTTTTTGTTGGATGTGGTTCAACTTATTTATATTTGATTATTTAGCCTTTATTTAGTCAACCTTTTTGCATATGTTTTGGGAAAACTTCTTCTATGAATTATATTGGTCTTTTGTAAGAGAAAACAATACTGATGTACAATAATAAGGGGAGGGTCAGTGGGACAATTCATAATATCATCTACTGTTAGTGGTCTTAAGATCACAACGTGTACTCAAACATGCAGTATATTTTCTTAAAAAAGCAAAATTACTCCTGGATGAAAACCACTGATCTACCATGACAAGAAGATTTAAGAAAAAAAAATGCAGATAATAATGAAGTGAAGGGAAGACCCTGGTTTTTCTAAGGTTCAGACAGAAAGAACCAAAATACCAGCCTCTAATCAAGAGAGTCCTTTTGTGGAGAAGAAGCCATTAGGGCTGGGATAGAAGCACCAATGTCATTTGTTGTGTAAACACATGAAAAACTTTAGTGACCTCAATGGTCTGAATTTTATGTATCTAACCTTATTTCTAGTAACCCAGCCATAGTTCCATATATCTTCTTTATTTTTTACTCTTGAATGTTACCTAAACATATTCCCCAATTAAATTTATACTCATTTTTTATTCAATACTCAACCATATTCTTCAATTTTGAGTTTTTCAAGAATACGAAGTATTGGTGAAGATGTGGAAAGTCTTAAACCTTCATAAACTCATCGTGGGAATGCAAACTGGCACAGCCACTTTAAAAAGTACCCTGGCAGTTTCTTAAAAAGTTAAACATAAATTTACCATATGACCCAATATCTATCCAAGACAAATGAAAATATGTATCAATACAAAGACATGTGCACAAAGGTTCACAGCAGCATTATTAATAATATCTTCAAATTGGAAATATCTAAATGTTCATCAACTGTAAATGGATAAGCAAAATGTGGTACAAACATATAATAGAAGCCTATCCTGCAATTAAAAGGAACAAAATATTGATGCATACTTCTACATGGATGACCTTAAAAAACATATACCAAATAGAAGAAGCCAGATACAAAAGACCACATATTTTATGATTCAATTATATAAAATATCTAGAAAAAAATGTATAAAGACAGAAAGGGAACAGTAGTTTCTTTAGGCTGAATTGGGGGTGGTAATTAACAACAATGGGCAAAAAGTTTATTTTTTGAGGTGATAAAAAATGTCCTAAAACTGGATTTTGTTGTTGATTGCATAATTATATATTTACTAAGATCATTATACTTAATATATTAATGAGTGAATTTCATATATAAATTATACCTCAATAAAATTATTTTAAAATAAAAATTTAAAGAGTTTTTTTCTTGAATTATTCAAGGTAAATTAAAAAGTTTTACTTTTCACCCTGGCCGGTTTGGCTCATCAGTTAGAGCATCAGCCTGTAGTCCAGAGAGACCCCAGTTCGGTTCTCGCTAAGGGCACATACCTCGGTTGCAGTTTGTCCCCGGCCCTGGTTGGTTGTGTGGGTGGCAGCCACTTGTTGTGTCCCTTTCACGTCGATGTTTCTTTCTCTCTCTTTCTCGTTCTCTCTCTCCCTCCCACTCTATCTGAACAAAAAATGGAAAAATGTCCTCGGGTGAGGATAAAAAAAAGTTTTACTTTTGTTTTAACTGGATCTAATACACACCAACAGTCTTACACTCACCTCTCCACTTTGCAATCCTTTTTATCTCTTGGATCCTGTCATTAATTTGTAGAGTAGACAGTAAATTGGATTAGACTAAATACAATCAAGGTGAATTTAAGTCACATCAGATAAGTCTTTTCTCTGTATAAATTATGGGCTTTGAGTGATTTTACAGTCCTTACTATCTCCCCAATAATTAGTTTCTGCTTTTCTCCAAAGTCCCTAATTTCTTTAATGATATTGTCTTAATACATCACACTGTTATCCCCTGTGTTGGATTTTTATTCCTGAAGAAGCAGATGCTGAACCAAAAAATAATGTGCAAACGCTTTATTGAAAACAGCAAGGGACATGGAAGGGGAGAGGAGAAGTGATAAATGGAAGGAAATATATAGAATAAAGCTGGCATTATGTCAGCTAGCACTGTGAATAAACTGAGATTTCATTCTGTGGGGAAATTCTAGTAAATGGTAAAAAATCTAAACCTGAGCATTATCCCAGCTAAGGGATGAGAGACGTGGTACACCCCACACCTCTCCATCAGGGGTGTCTCTGATAGGACATAATTCCCTGTCATCTCTGCTACCACATATTGGGCAAAGTGGGTTCCAGCTGGTGCTGGATGTTGGCAGTCATGCAATAGAGATGGTGAGAGGATAGCAGGGAATGTGGAAGGAATGTTGACATATACTCCTCCATGCTTCATTGTGGTCTCATTTCTATGAACACTGTTCACCCAAAGTGAGTGGAATTCTAAAGATATTTCACAATGTGTGACTATTATCCCTGATGAACAGAGTTCCAGAAAGAAATCAAATCATGCAAGGAAACAACTAATTTTATTGTAGTCATTATTACATGGTTTTATATCTTAGAGGGTGTACCTCAAAATTCAATAATAGAAAATAAAGGTCAAATAAAAATGGGAAGGAAGAAAGATGGATGAAAGGAAATATCACAATGACAGACACATCTCAGTTTTCTGAGGCAGAAAATTTCTATAAATCATCTGAAGGAACCATCTTCAAATCTATATTCCCATATTGAAGTTGAAAACCACCTCACAGCTGCTGTAAAAGGTAGTAAAGCAAAGTCAATGCCAGGTTGCAGAACAACTCCATCTCAGTCTCTTCTTTTGAAAAGTGAAGCGAAATGAGAGACAACATCTCAAAAAATGTTTTTAAGATGAAAGCAAGTCATTCATGTGAGGAAACAACTAGAGTCCTGATATTGTAAGCACTTCGATCTGATTACAGTATGGTTTTTACTTCATTTCTTCTGGAAAAAAACAAACAAGCATACAACCAAATCAGGGTGAAGATCAGTAATGTAGGAGGACAACATTTTGGGAAACTAAGTGAGCACTTGACATAATAAATGTTTTAAATTTAAACTTAGAATAGCTGCAGGAATGCTGACCATACATGGAACATTGTGGATTGCACATAGGAAAGAAAAGTAAAAAAATAATTTCTGAAGTTTTTCAGTCTGAACCCTACTTCTAAGTCTCTGGGTCTTCAGTGGAGGGTGTGGGGGGTGGAGGGAGGAAATAAACCAAAGAACTTATGCATATAAGCATAACCAATAGATATAGACATCAATACTGGAGGGTGGGGTGGGAGGAGGGTGTCAATGGGGGAAAAAAGAGAAACATCTATAACAAGAATAAATTAATTAAATTTAAAATAAAAGAAAAATGATTTCTGAGGAGATGCTGAAAGAAGTAAAAATTTAAACAAACAAAAGCAAAATCATATGTGCTTTGAAAATATAAGAAATCAGGCCTGTCTTTTAGGAGAGAAAAAAACCACAGATATTTAAATTCGCAACATTCACCTTTGGGGCCCACAATGTACACTTAGTTCTTAGGCCTGTGATCCATCATCCAAAAGATGCTGCTGGGTTGAGGAGCCTTCTCAGGGCCCCCTTCATATCTTTGTTCCTCAGGCTGTAGATGAAGGGGTTTAGCATGGGGGTGACCATAGTGTACATTATTGAGGCAACTGAGTTTTGTACAGAAGAATGGATCGCAGCAGAACTGAGGTAGACCCCCAGGCCAGTTCCATAGAACAGGGAGACCACGGAGAGGTGAGACCCACAGGTGGAAAATGCTTTATATTTTCCCACTGCAGAAGACATTCTCATTATAGAGGAGATAATCTGAGAGTATGAAAAGATAATTCCAGTGAGAGGAAACACACCCAGTAGGGCAGTGGCCACATACAAGAAGATGTTATTGATGAGGGTGTCAGAGCAGGCCACCGTGAGCATCTGAGCTAATTCACAGAAGAAATGTGGAATTTCAGTGCCTGTACAGAAGGTCAGCCGCCTCATCAGTAGAATATGAATCAGGGAGAACCAGAAAATGATGAGCCAAGACATCAGAACCAGGAAGCCACAGAAGTGTGGGTTCATGATGACTGTGTAGTACAGGGGGTGGCAGATGGCCACATAGCGGTCATAGGCCATCACAGTCAGGAGGAAATTGTCCATTCCAGCAAAAATCGTAAAGAAATACACCTGAATATGGCACCCAATGTAGGAGATGGCTTTGCTCTGTGCCTGGATATTCACCAGCAGCTTTGGGATGATGGTGGAGGTGAAACAGATGTCAACCAAGGACAGGTTGGCGAGAAAGAAATACATGGGGGTGTGCAGGTGGGAGTCAGAGCTGATGGCCAGGATGATGAGCAGGTTTCCAAGCACAGTGAACAAGTATATGAGCAGGAATACTCCATAGAGGAGGTTCTGCAGTTTAGGATCATCTGAGAGACCCTGGAGAAGGAATTCTGATACTTCTGTGTCGTTTTCTGCTTCCATGTAGCTGGTGTGTCTTCTAAAGGAGGCAAAAGCAACATTCAGTAAATAGCCAAATGGCAACTCAGCTAGAAATCCCTTTGGATTTCACCTTTGCATGGACATCTTTCATAATCTAGTAGTTTTTTCAATGCCAGTGATTCACTCATTTAAGTGGTAGCCTAATTTTATTTTGAATGTGTAATTCAGACTTTCTCTGATTTAGCAGAAATTTCTCCCTCTCTCTCTCTCTCTCTCTTTATGTTCTACTCACTGGTTCTGACTCTTGTATCCAAATTTGCAGACATAAACCAATTTGTTCTTTTATAGCAACCTCCCAAAATAACTAAAGATGCTTTATGTCTTTTCTTTGATAATCTCCGTACTCATTTCTTTTCTTAATAGGAATTAACACATGTGTTTTCAACTCAGTCTTATTTCCATGACCTGATGCTTTTTATTGATATCATGGTTAACTCTCCATGTGCTTTATTATATTTCTTTCTAAAAATGTGGTTACTGCTATTACCATCTTTGTGAGGTCCAAAAATGCCTTTAATCACAGTAAAACCCTTTTAAATTATATCATTATCATTATTTATCTATTACTTTCATTAAAATTATTTTTGATATATAACTCTTCCAAAGTACAGTTATACCATGTTACATTTCTGTGACCTTGATGAAGTTAATTAATCTCTCTCAGCTGCAGATACCTCACATCCACAATGGTAGTAGTAAATATTCCCTATATTGTGGGACCAAATAAGTGATTAAATGAGGTGATGCATATAATTTTTTAGTGAAGTTTCTATGAAATACAGTTGATACAAGATAAAAGTGAATTTCTGTTCTTAACATCACAATAAATCTGTTTTTCATCATAATCATTTTTAGTATTCCTCTTATACTGGGGCAGCCATCATTATAAACACAACAACAGGTCTGTTATTTATTTATTTTTATCACCATGCAGCACTTCTAATTTATGAGGATCCTTATGTCTCCCCCTTTCAGAGACTTCCTGGCAAGTGGATTCTTCCAAGAGGAAGATGCATATAGACTACATAGTTAGTGTGGGAGGGGAGACAAAAGCACACTACCATTAAGATAAAACAGAAAGCATGTACCAGGGCATGTGCTTAGGTTCTCCAGTGGAGATGTGTTGCATTAAAATCAGTGACATGAACTGAAAACAATTAATAGATTTTATTTAAAAATATTCAATGTCCGGCTCAGCGGTTGAGCATCTACCCATGCACCAAGAGGTCACCAGTTTGATTCCTGGTCAGGACACATGCCCAGGTTGTGGGTCTGATTCTGAGTGAGAGACATGTAGGAGGTGGCAAATCGATATTCTCTCTCATCCATGTTTCTATCTCTCCCTCTCACTTCCTCTCTCTCTAAAATCAATAAAAGAAAAAACTTTTTATTAAAAATAAAAATATTCAATGTGTCTATGCATGAAATCATCCTAAAAATTGAAAGGCAAATTTAAGATTTAAAAATAAAAAGGCAAAACTTCAATAAGGGGCTTATATCCAAAATATGTAAAGAACTCATACAACTCAACAACAAAAAACCAACAGTTCAATGAAAAAATAGGTAGAAAACTTGAACAGACACTTTACCAAGAAGCCATACTGATGGCCAACAGACATAAAAAGATGCTCAACTTCACTAGCTATAGGGGAAATAAAAATCAAAACCACAATGAGATACCACCTCATACCTGTTAGAATAGCGATTAGCACTAAGATAAGAAATAAGTCTTTGAAAGGATGTGGAGAAAAGAGAGCCCTTGTGAGAATGAAAGTTGGTGCTGCCTCTATGGAAAACAGTATGAAGGTTCATTTAAAAAATTAAGAATAGATTACCTTATCACCTAGCAATTCCTCTTCTGGGTATCCACCTGAAAAACTTGAAAACACTTATTTGTAAAGACAGATGTATATATCTTTATGTTTATTGCAGCATTATTCACAATAACCAGGAAATGGAAAAAATCTGTGTTCTTTGATGGATGATTGGACAAAGAAGATTTGGTACATATAAACTATATAATACGACTCAATCCTTAAAGAGATACAATACTGCCATTTGTGACAACATAGATGGATCTTGAAAGCATAATGCTAAGTGAAATGAGTAAGAAGAAAAATGACAGGAACCATATGACTTGTATGTCAGATATAAAACAGAAATCAAATGAACAAACAATACAGACTCATATACATGGACAACAGTATGGTGGTTACCAGGGGGGAAGTAATTAAGGGGAAAATAAAGAGGGTAAAAAATTTCAACTATATAGTGATGAAATAAAATATACAGATGAGGTGTTATAAATTTATTCACTTAAAACTTATACATTATTAACCAATGTTATACCAATAAATTTAATTCAAAAAATTAAATAAAGATTTACATTCTCAATGATAAAAATGTTTCACTATTACTAATGTCTACAGAATGCTAATTAATTAAGGAGAGAAAAAAATCACTGAGGACCCATTTAGTCTGGAGAGGTGGGTAGAACAGGCTTCTTTGAAATATGAATATTTGAGCTGTGACAGGAAAGATGAATAATTGTGAATTAGAAGAAATTTTAAAAGGGCAAGCACTTGGGGCTAAGAGAACAGAATTTCCCATTGCACTTGGGTGAGTGAGCATGGTAACAGAAGGGATCTGAGAGACCAGTGAGATAGAGAACAGATAAGTGGGGTCAGGAGGGAGAAAGTATGTGAAGTCCAGTATGAACATCATGTACTATTCCTTAGTGCCTCTTATGTTGGTAATTTTATATTCTTTTGTGGGTTAGAAGTTGTAACTGTTTTTGCTCACCATTTTCATTGCAGTGACTTATCTGGTGCCTGGTACATAGTAGGTACTCAATGTATATAAATGTTAGATGTATAATAAAGATTGAGACCAGAAGTGTCAACCATGACATAAAAAAATAAATCTTGAAGTTCATCATATAATTGGTTTCCTCTTGCTAAATGAGGAAACCAATAACAATTTCTTAACTCAACAAAGAACAGTTGTTTTAAAACTGGAGACAACAGAATATTCTACATTAACTTACTAAAATATTTGTATTAAATTTACGAACATACCAATGCAGTCAACTCCAACTTTAGCCACTTGATATTCTGCTGAACATTTGAAGAGACTGGTAAGATGAGGGGAAAAAATTAGCCTGAGTACTGAATGTCAGAAATAATTATATTTGTAGATAGTATTGTGTACGCTAAGGTGAAACAACAATAACATGAATATAGAACTAGTAAGTGCTATCAGTGAGTCAAATCTGCTGCAAAACAGGGAATATAAGAGAGAAACCCAATCACATTAGGAACAAAATAGACAATACCTAATACATAGTAGTTCTTCAGTGAGTAGTTAATGAATAAATAATAGATCATAAAATATTTAGAGTAGCATACAATTTTGGGAAAGAGTGAGAAGAGGTGGAGATTCTTTGGAAAACAATTCATATTTTAGGTATCTCTAGATGAGAGAGAGAGAGAGAGAGAGTGAGAGAGAGAGAGAAAGAGAGAGAGAGAAGGAAACAGAACAAGAGTTGGAAAACACAGGTTATAGGGAAAACTAAAATACCTTCAAAATACATGGAATTCATTGTCATAAACTGAATAGTACAAGACTGTCCCAGTCTAATTTCCAGAGGTAAGTCCCAATACTAGCTTTGCCTCATTTCCTTTTCTTTCCACCAGCCCTCACTGGAATACAGTGACCCTTCCTGAAGGCTATCACTAAAGTTTTCTGTTTGCCAAGATCTGTCCTTGGGAAACCCAACTGAGTTTTTATTTGGCTGGGGCCAGATAATTAAGGAAAGGGGCAAAATGAACACGTTTACATTTTCCAGCATCTCAAGGGTTGAATTCTCAGAGCTCCTCATTAAATTTCTAATGTCTTTTCACTCTTCAAACAACTCAGATCCCATGGGGTGCAAAGATATGAGAATGGAAAAATTTCACCTACTGTTGTTTCTGTACAAACATCAAAGGGGGGAGATAAATTTATTTGCTCCCAGGAGAAACCCTTCTTTCTTCTGTCTGACTTAAAATGAAAAGGTGTTTCCTAAGGAATGTTGAAATGCCTCGGGAACCAGCCAGAAACCAACTTTCTGTGATGTTCTTCCCTTGAAGAATCTTTGGAGATTTCATGGATCACTTGGTGTTTACAGTGTCATGAAAGCAAAAAGTTCCTTTAAAAAGAAAGGCAGAGTTGTTAAATGGCTTATGTCTATTGAAAGGACCAACCGATGAGGGTTGAAAAATATTTTTGACATTTTCTGGTGACACAAATCCTCTGTTGACATTAATGAAGGCTCTACCTATTACTACTTCCATGTGTCTGGGTCTACTGTATTCCTCAGACTGTTATGTTCATTATATTCCGTATATAAGTGAGATCATGTGGTATTTGTCTTTTTCTGCTTGGCTTCTTTCACTTAGGATAATACTTTCCAGGTCCCTCCATGTCGTCTCAAAGGATAAGAGATCTTTCTTTCTTACTGCTGCATAGTACTCCATTGTGTATATGTACCACAGCTTTTTTATCCATTCGTCTACTGGTGGACACTCAGGCTGTTTCCAGATCTTAGCTATTGTAAATAGTGCTGCTATGAACATGGGGGTACATATATTCTTCCTGATTGGTGTTTCAGGCTTCTTAGGGTATATTCTCAGCAGTGGGATCACTGGGTCAAATGGAAGTTCAATTTTTAATTTTTTGAGGTAGCACCATAATGTTTTCCATAGCGGCTGCACCAGTCTGCATTCCCACCAGCAGTGTATTAGAGTCCCCTTCTCTCCATACCCTCGCCAACACGTGTTGTTTGCACCTCTTACCTTAAATAGAGGGGTAGAGACAGAAATAATCCAGGTAGAGTGGGTTGAAGAGTGAGTCTTGGGGAAATATAGGTGACAAATATAAACCACATTTCATGTTTGTAGGGGGAAGGGAGGAGAGAGTGTAAAGAGAGTTGAAACTTGAGAGGGTTTAAGAAAAAATTTATTGGAAGACATAGGAACAGGTTCACTTTAAAAGAGAATTACCAGATTTAATGCAGGCATTTCAATA